TCCAGTCTGGGTGACAGAGTGAGACTCCAACTCAAAAAAAAAAACAACCAAAAGAAATTGTAAAAGCTGCAGAGGATAGAAATCAAAATATCTAGAAGGGAAAATATGTTGGAGTATATTCTAACAATATGATCCTGATTACCTGCATATACAAAAATGTTTAAATGGCCCTGATATAACATCTTTGGAAAGGGGCAGCAGCCCTGGGGTGGGGAGAGGGATAAGGAGGTACGAGGGGGAATCCAAAAAACCCAGAATTTATTTATAAAGAATTGCATATTTATTTTTACATGCTTAAACTTCAGTCACCTTCAACATACTCTTCGTTTGATGCTCAAAACAGTTTTCTAACTCATCAATTTTGATGCCTTTTAGTGCTTCTGTTGTTTTTTATTTCACTTTTCCTACATCTGAAAAATGTTTCCCTTTGAGGACTTTTTTCATCTTTGAAAACAAAAAAAGTTGCTTGGGGTAAGATTGGGTGGATAAGGAGGGTAGGGCATGGAGGTCATGCTGTTTTTGGTCAAAAACTGCTGAACACTTAGCACGGTGTCCACAAGTTGTTCATGTAAATCGTCCAAGAGGAAATGGGCAAAGTCTTTGAAAGAATCTCCCCTCAAAAAAATTTTTTTACATTGAAGCCAAACACAGCCTCTCACAACAACACTAATTGGTACACTGATGCCAACGGGTTCCTACAGCACTTAGGTAGAGAGGCAGCCTGTACTACAAGCAGCCCACCCTCTAAAAGATAATTCTGGGTGGTTTTTTTTTTGGTCCTCCTTCATACTTGTCCTACCTCCTCCAGTCAAAATCTGCTCACTTCAAAGTCCCCTGAATACACAAAAATCTGGTTTAAAATAATATGTTTGCTATACAAAAACAGCTTCTACAAAAGATCCCTAAAAGTACTTTCTCCCCTCCTTCATATGATACCCATGAATAAACAATCTAATGATAGCTAATAATATTTAACTTTTATTGAGTATTCTATGAACTAGACATTATTTAAAGTGCTTAAAGATATGAGTACATTTAGAATTTACAACTACTCTATGCTTTAGGTTCCACAATTATCTCCATTTTATAAATGAGAAAACTGAGCCACAGAGCTGCTCAGTTCACCTTGCCTAGACTCTTAAACCTAATGAGAGGTAGATTCAAACTCAAGCAGTCTGGATCCTGTGCCATGTTCTTAATCACTATAAAAAGAAGGCATCATTTGCAAATGTTACTTCTAGATAGTCCCAGCTGCTCCCAAATTGTGTGCACTTAAATCTTTCACCCACAGAAATTCTGGAACTTCCACCGAAGCTGCAAATTTTCAGCCAGGTTAGGTTTAAAACAAAAGCAGATTCAGTATTTCTCAGCAGGGACATTCCATTAGAATGAGTAAGCCGAAAGCAGTTTGTTCAAGCAACGCTGACTGGAAAAACATCATATTTGGATGCCTATTTTCAGGGTCAGTTCTGACAACCATGAAGGGACAAGGGTGCAGAACTGAAGACTGAGAACTTTTGTCTTGTTTATAGAATAATAAATTAATTTACCCCAGTATTAGAAATTTTAGGATCTAAACATTTGCATACAAATAGAAAAATTATAGAGTCACAGTATAATCTTGGAATTTTTTTTTGTCCAACTTAGGCAACAACAACAACAACAATAAAAGACTCATATTTAGGAGCCTTGAATGGAATTCCAGATTCTCTCTGCCCTGCTTTTTTAATTTTAGCGTGAACTAATTCAGATTACCCTCAGATGTCTAGACAACAAGTCTGTCTTCCCTTTCTAGTTTTAATCCCCAATCTCCAGTTCTACTGCATCTCTCCCCACATGTATATTGACACTTGGCATATCTAATGTCCTTCCAAGCTCTCCTTTGGATGACAGAGACTTGAGCCTGGGAATGACATTTTCCAGGATTCCTTGCCGGAAGGTCCTAGACACATTTTACAATCCTCTGATAAGATGAACTCTCATGAGACTCAGTCCTGTAGCAGCAATGACTGGCTGCATGCATGGCTTAAAAATATCATGGGTGAGGATATTTTGGTGGTCTCTGAATTTCCCTGTCTCTTGCACACTGAGGGACTGTGGAGGGGAGGGACTGGCAGCAGTTGCCTGCCTGTCCTTGCCTCTGGGTGACAGTAGATCTCTGCTGTCTGTAGCAATAAATCTGAAAGCTATTTGTCATCCTGACTTTCCCTCCTCCAGCTTTTCAAGTAGTTTTATAAGTACCTACTTCTTGTACTAAATTCCTTTATGCTAGAAATATCTGAAGTGGTTTCTGTTTTCATACGCGAACTCTGAAGTTTACAATATTTGGTATAACAAAAGATTTCAGAAAATTGACCTTTAAAATTGGGAACGTAGGCCTGGCACAGTGGCTCAAGTCTGTAACCCCAGCACTTTGTGAGGTAGAGGTGAGAGGATTACTTGAGCCCAGGGGTTCAAGACCAGCCCAGGCAACTTGGTGAGACCTTGTTTCTACAATTAAAAAAAAATTAGCCAGGAGTGGTGGTGCACACCTGTAGTTCCAGCTACTTGGAAGGTTGAAGCGGAAGGATCGCCTGAGTCCAGCAGGTCAAGGCTGTGGTGGCCATAAGCGTGGATGACAGAATGAGATTGTGACTCAAAAACAAAAAATAAAAATAAAAATGGGAACGTAGGATTGGTTATCTGAACAATTTAGGCTTGGGGGCAGAGATGACTTCATACTAGTTCTGTACTGGTACCCTGATGCCAATGGGTTCCTACAAAACTTACCTAGAGGGGAAGCCTGTACTACAAAGGGTAATACCTCCAAAAGATAATTCTGGTTACTTTGGGGTCCTCCCTCATACTTGTCCTACCTCCTCCAATTTCCATCTGCTCACTTCAAAGTCCCCTAAATACACAAAAATCTAATTTAAGACAATATGGTTGTTTTACGTACTGTATAAAATGGGGTATTTGTGATCCATAGCAAAAGTGACTTAAGTTATCACCCACAGCAGTGGCTGAGATAAAGGGATTGTTGAAGGGAAGGACAGGGAGCCCAGGTGGCCGCTGTGAGTAACCATGACCCTGGGAGTGCTGACTGCCAGGACTCCAGGTGACCAACTGGGAGAATTCAGAAATAAATCCACAACTCTGACCTTTATACAACAGATTAATTTCACATGTTCTTGAACTGCATGTGAATGGAATTATATAGTATGTACTCTTTTATTTTTACTTCTTTTACTCAGCATTAACTATGAGATTCATTAACGCTATTGCATGATTCCGTAGTATGTTATTTTTTCACCACTGGGTAGCTATGTCATTGTGTGACTATGTCACAGTTTACCTACACATTCCAATGTTAATGGACTTTTGGGATAATTTTCAGCTTGGCACTCTTATGAATAGAGCTGCTATGGTACATGTCTTTTGGAGGACAGAGGCATTCATTTCTGTTGGATATATACACTCAGGGGTAGAATTGCTGAGTCATATGGTATATGTGTGTTTAATTTTAGTGTTGCCAAACATTTTCCCAAAATAATTGTATCAATTTACACTAACAATGTGTGAGAGTTGTAGTTTAACATCCTTTCCAATACTTGGCATTGTCAGTCGTTTAAATGCTAGTCATCATGGTGTGTGTGTAGTGGCATCTCATTGTGGTTTCAAATTCCACTTCTCTGATAAGCAATGATAGCAAGTACCTTTTTGAATGTCCACTGGTTATTTTGGTAATTCCCTTTTGTTAAATATTTATCAAATATTTTGCCCATTTTAAAATTACATTCTTATTCTTGTTGATTTGTAGTGTTCTTTCTACATTCCGGATATGAGTCATTTGTCAGATGTACATATTATGATACCTTCTTCCATCTTTGCTTTTGTTTTTACTCTCTTAGAGATATATTCTGATACTAGGTTTTAATGAAGTCCAAATCATCAAACTTTCCTTTTATAGTTAGTGCTTTTTGTGTCTTGCTTAAATATCTTTGCCTATCTCAAGATCATAAAGATATTTCCTCTCAGATAAGTTTAAAAAAAAAAAAAAAAGATATTTCCCTCCCATGATTTTTTTTTTTTTTTGAGTCATGGTCTCACTCTGTTGCCCAGGCTGAAGTGCAGTGGCAATATCATGGCTCACCACAGCCTCTACCTCCTAGACTCAGATGAACCGTTCACCTCTGCTTCCCAAGTAGCTGGAACTACAGGCGCACACCACCATGTGCTAATTTTTTTGATGCTTTGTAGAGACAAGCTCTTGCTGAGTTAACCAGGTTGGTATAAAACTTCTGGACTCAAGCAATCCTCCCACCTCACCCTCTCAAACTGCTGGGATTACAGGCGTGAAGCACCATGCCCAGTCTCTCCTAGGATATTTTGAGGATTCAGTGATGATGTATTTAAAGACTGTACAAACAATGCTTGGCAAGTACATAGCAAATACTCAAAAAACAAAACAAAAAACACCTCACAAAGAAAACGGAAAGAACAAATAGGAAAACAAGTAAGCCTGTGGTCCTGTTAACATTCATAATATGCTTTTGTTTCTTAAAGATGTTGTGGTAATATTTATAGCAACCTGAGGAAACATAGGGATGAGAAATATTGACCATGACTTGGTGGGAGATGGGAGGGAAGATGTCCTGAGGGTAATCACTACGGCTCCCCACAACAGTCTGAGATTCAAGTAGGACCCATAGAAGTCATCTCCAAGCCAGGCAAAGTTGTGCGTTTTCTTCAAAACCAGACTCTGCTTGGTCTTTTTCAATGTCATCAAATTGCTGTGATCCTTTTTCTGGTTCTTTTCTTGACCTAGGCCATGTTCATTTCCATGACTCACACTCCCAGGAACATTTTTATGCTTCATTTTAATAATTCCTCAGTGGTTTCCTCTGTGACTTCCATAGCTTCTTTGGCGGCCTCTTCTGTGATCCATTTAATGGCTAATGCAATGACCTCCTTCGTGTCCATGATATCCACCATGATTTATTTCATAGCCACCTCCATGGCTATGGCTCAACTCCATGTCCAAAGCCATGTGCTCCTCCATGAGCAATCTCAAATCCTCTTCCAGGAACCAGTTCATTTCCCAGGCTGTGGAACACTCGAGAGCCCAGGGCCGAGTCCAGGTCCAGATCAAGGCCAAGGCTGTGGCCATGGGGGTAGTAAGTACAACTAGTTCTCAGGGGGAGGAAAAAGTCTCTCTAAAAGAAGAAAATAAAATTACCAAAATTAAGTCTCCTCTTCCTAATCACTATACATGTCTATTTCACCACTGTCAGATTTCCACTTTTCAAAACTGCTCATTTTTTTTTCTGTTTACCACCATCCTTACTGTGATCTCTGTCACATTTTCTTCTATTCAAGAAAATAACCTTCCCTCTTCCCTTATTAATATATCCCCTTTATGTGAATACTCAGGCTCTTGCTCTGCAGATCATAAGATTACGTGATTTTAGACTTTCAAGATAAAGGTAATCCACATCTTTATGTGAAAGACAGTTTTTCACTTTGTTTATCACCTATGAAAGCTGAGGACAGCCATGTGGAGTTGAGAGTCCTCAGAAACCTGAGATTATAGGCACAAACTCCAGAATCAAACCAACCTGGGTTGGCAATCTAGATCTACCACTTACTGCATGGGCTGGGGCAAATAGATCACAGAGCTCCAGCTCTCTTGCTTACAAGATGAATTTAATATCTTCATGGGATTATAGAGTGTATTAAATGATATAACACATTCTTTTTTTAGACACATTTTTTTTTTCACTCTGTCACCCAGACTAGAGGGCAGTGGCACAGTCATGGGTCACATCAGCCTCGGCCTTCTGGGGCTCAGGTCATCTTTTCACCTCAGTGTCCCGAGTAACTGGGACTACAGCCATGCACCACCACACCTGCTAGGTTTTTTGTTTTTGTAAAGATGAGGTCTTGCTATGTTGCCCATGCTGGTCTTGAACTTCTGGGCTCAAGCAATCCCCTCACCTTGGCCTCCCAAAGTGCTGGGATTGCAGGCTTGAACCACTGCATTCAGTCTCATAATACACTTTAAACATTCAGCCTTGAGCCTGGCACTTAGTAAAAATTCAATGTTTGTTTTCATTATTATCTGTTGATCTTGAAAATAAAATTATAAAGCAATTTAGGAAGCAATTTCTAGATGGTGAGTCTTTATGATGTAACCTACATATAAAAACAGGCTGAGAACTCTAAAATAAAGTCTTGGTAAGTTGACTATCTTAAGCCAAGACTTTGTGGTTGCAGTGAGTTTTTTTTAATATGTTTGTCCATTTTCCCCAGTAGTATGCTGTTCAATACTTAATAACAAGCTTGTAGTGTTTGCTAATTTCTGTGGTGTAAATACTTCCACCACAGCAGATTTTAAGCTGCCAGTGTCACATCACTAAGCTGAGAATTGGGACGAGCAGCACAATCTCTTGTGGCCAGGAGGACCTATCCCTGCTCACCCCTGATTTATCTCAGCTTCATTCCTCAAATGTGAAGCTACAGGATTATAAGAAAATAGAAAAAATGCAAAGAAATGTGAAACCATTATAAGAAAAGTATGTATTCAAAAAAAGACCAATACCAGAGAGCAGGGCAGCAATGGGAGGTCCAAGAATAACGATTACAGACAGAACAAGGAATCAGAGTGCTGAGAGTACTGGAAATTTGTCAGAAATAAGACCACCAGAAACCTGCACTTTGGATGAACATTTTAAAGTTTTTTGCTTTCTTTATATTTATTTCCCTTTTGTTCTCACTCAGTATTTAGTGAAATGTTCCGACATTTCTATTCTATCAACTGCCCTGAGGAGAAGGAAGAAAGAGTATTCATCTTTACTGGTGCAAAAGCATCAAAAGGAAAGCAGCAGGCACTAACACTTGTAATGTACCTAAAGATCCTTGACTCTTTGGAGATTCTTCTGCCCGTGCCGAAATACTCTTAACTCCCAGATTTCATTTTATTAAGGAGACATGATTTTCTTTAAATACTTGCTTCTCTTTTTCCCCAGTTTGCCCAATTTCCCTTCATGTTGGCCCCGACTTCATCTTCCTCCTCTTTTACTACTTCATGTCTCACTTTCTGACCCACTGCTTCTCTCTGGTCCTTATGTCATCCTGTGTGCTTCTCAAATCCTTGCACAAACCTTATTCTCCTCTCCCACTCTAGATACCCTAGAATTCTCCTCTCATTCATGATCTGCCTTCTCACCAGCCTCCCCCATTAACCCATGCTAGATACTCACCAGGAAAAAGCTCAGTCCTACTAACAATCCAACTCCAACCATGACCGCAGCCAGAGAAATGAGGATGATGCCCCAAGGCTGTAAATGTCCACTTGGTTTGATGATGTTTGTTGGTGTGTGGTTCATGTTATCTGTGTTGGTAGACACTGGGCCTGTTTTCTGGTAGTTGGTGCTGGCCCTAGGTGTGCTGGTTAACTTGTGGATAGGTCCTGCAGTGGTCCAGACATCAGGGGCTGAGGTGGTAGATGCTCTGGGAGTGGCTGTGCCCAGGCCAGAGGTATTTGGAACCATTCCAGGTACAGTATGGCTGGCAGCAGAGGCTGTGGAGTCCATGCCAGGGGACATGGTGACAGAGCTGGGGCTGGTTGGTCTGCTTCCAGTGGTCCTGGTGCCTAGGACACAGGTCATACAAGATGGCTCATTTATGGTGGAGATCATTAAAGGGGAGAGGGCTCCTAGAGCAGAGAGGTTTGAATCGAGCTCACCTATGGTGGGGTGGCTCAGGAGAGGGGCTGGGGAGAGAAGTAATGGTGGAAAGTGACTTGCCATGGCCATGACTCCAGAATAGAGTGAATGTCTTAGAGAGAAGGAGGTAGAACATACCCTCTGGTGGGGATGGTGGAGGCAGAAGACTGATGAACGTGATCATGGGGGATGCAGAAATGGAAGATCTGTTCAAATAGGGGCTGGGGGGACTGTGGCAGGCCCTGATTCTCTTGTGATTGTTGTCACTAGGTATAAGGAGGAGATGATGGAATAAGAATCACTCATGGGTGTGGCAGCAGCCGTGGCTGGGAGCGCAGGTAACAGCACCTAACATAACTGTAGGGGTCAGCAAAGTCTAGGTGAGTGTGCTTGGATTGAGGTGGAAGAAACTGACCCAGTGGCCCAGTCCCTGATCACAGGGACAGGAGAGGGTAGGTTCAGATGGTGACAGAACCAAACAGTAGAGGTGGTGGTGGTGACTTAGGGAGCAATGGGTATACCCAGCTCTGAAGTGGTTAAAATCTGATCGAGAACAGTGCCGGTCACCAGAATATGCCCAGGAGAAAGAGATGGAACCAGATGCAGCACAAGAGTGTGTGGCGCATACAGAGGGGCTGTCACTCCCAGTAAGAGACAGAGTGAAAACAAAATCATTTCATCTTAGACTGGAGTGAGGGTTGGAAAACATTTTCTCTAATGGACCAGATAGTAAATGTTTTAGGCTTTGGGGTCATGCTGTCTGTTGCAACTCCCTAGAGGAACTGGAGACAGTATGTACATGAATAGGTGTGGCCGTGTTCCAATAAAACTTTATTTATAGAAACAGAAAACAGGTGAGATTCAGCCCATGAATGTGATGTGCCAACTCGTTGGACTAGGGGAGAATATATTGATAGGAGGTGGTGTCCCAGGTGGTGGGTTAAACAGAGCTGATGTACTTGGCACAGAAGTGAGAGCATCTGACAAAACTGTGAGAGGGACAGGAACAGGTGGGTTTGCTGGAGGCAGAAGTGACAGAATGTAAGGAACTCGCAGTAGTTAGGGGGATATCTGTAAAGGAGTGTTTCTGATGGAAATAAATAAAAGGAGGCAAGGTCAGAGTGGGATACACAGGATTCAAGAAGAGGAAATAGTACCTAACCATGAACTGACCTGACAAGGGTTCAGGGCAGAGATGACAGGAACAAGTGAAAGGGTGGTGGTTGCTACTGGGGTTAAGATGTGTGTGCTCAGAGGAGACATGCTGGTTATTACCTGACACAGCTATGCTGGTGATGGGCTGATGAGAAATGTCAGCGACCTTTGTGGGCACAGAAGTGATAGCAGAGACACTGGTGGAGACTGCAGTGACTCCAGAGGTAGAGGCCAAGAAGGGCGATGAGTCCAAAGCCAAGGCTGTGGTGACCTTAGGGCCTGAGGTGGGTCCAGAAGGTGAGGTGGAAGCTTCAGGGCTCCTAGCAGCTGTAGATGAGGACATGGTGGGCCCAGAAGCTGACAAAGAACCCATGGAGCTCTCAGAGGCTGTGCTCGAGACAGTCAGCATCTTGGAAACTGTGCTGCTGGTTGTCATGGGCAGAGTATAGGTAGACAGATGTGTGGTGAGCATAGAGATTGAGGAGGAAGCTATAGGGGATGTGATAGTTTCAGAGTCTGTGGTGGAGGCAGTGGTAATCTCAGAGCCCGTGGCGGAGGTCGTAGTGGTCTCAGAATCTGTGGTTGAGGCCATGGCGTTCTCAAAGCCTATGGCGGAAGCTTTGGTGGAGCCTGAAGTTGAGACCATTGTGAACTCAGGACCCGTGGTAGAGACTGTGGAGGAGCTTGCAGTGGAGGCTGTGTTGATTTCAGAAGCTGTGGTGAAGACCGTAGTAATCTCAGAGCCTGCAGTGGAGGCCATGGTGGGTTCAGGGCCTGCAGTGAAGGTCATGGTCGTCTCAGAGCCTGTAGTGGAGGCCATGGTGGTCTCATAATCTGTGGTTAAGGCCACAGTGGTCTTAGAGTCTATGGTGGAGACCATTATGGAGCCTGTGGTGGAGGCCACGGTGGTCTCATATCCTGCAGAGGAGGCTGTAGTGAAGCCTGCAGTGGACGCCATGGTAGAGCCCACAGTGGAGGCTGTCGTGGCTTCCAAGCCTGCAGTGGAGACTATGTTGATCTCAGAACTTATGGTGGGGACCATGGTGGCTTTGGAGTCTGTGGTGGAGTCCATGGTGGGGCCTTCAGTGGAAGCCATAGTGGCCTCAGAGCCCATGTTAGAGGCTATGATGGTCTCAGAACTTGTAGTGGAGGCTGTGGTAGCCTCAGAGATTGTGGTGGCCTCAGAGCCTGTGGTGGAGATCTTGGTGGCTTCAGAGTCTGTGTTGACTTCAGAGGCTGTGGTGGAGGCTGTGGTGGCCTCAGAACCTATGGTTGAGGCCTCAAAGCCTATGGTAGAGGCCATAGTGGCCTTAGAGCCTGTGGTGAAGGCAGTGGTGGTACCAGAGCCTGTGGTGGAGGATATCATGGTCTCATAGTCTGTGGTGGAGGTTGTGTTGGTCTCTGAGCCTGAAGTAGAGGCCGTAGTGATCTCAGAGCCTGTGGTGTAGGCCATGGTGGTCTCAGAGCCTGCGGTAGAGGCTGTGGTGGTTTCTGAGCCTACAGTGGAGGCCACAGTAGTCTCAGAATCTGCGGTTGAGACCATGGTGGTCTTAGAGCCTACAGTGGAGGCCATGGTGGAGTCTGAGGTAGAGGCTGTAGTGGTCTCTGAATCTGTGATGGAGGCTGTGATAGTGCTTACAATGGAGACCCAGGTGGTCTCTGAGTCTGTGGTGGTCTCAGAAACTTCAGTGAAGACCATGGTGGCCTTAGAGCCTGTGGTGATCTCAGAGCCTGTGGTGGAAGTTGTGGAGATCTCAGAGACTGTGGTGGATGCTGTGGTGATCTCAGAGCCTGTGGTTGAGGCCACAGTGGTCTTAAAACCAGGAGTGGCAGCCATGGTGGAGTCCGAGGTAGAGGCTGTGGTAGTCTCAGAGCCTGTGATGGAGGATGTGGTGATCTCAGAGCCTGTAGTGGAGGCCACAGTATTCTTAGAGCCCATGGCAGAGGCCATGGTGGAGCCTACAGTGAAGGCTGTGGTGGTTTCAGAGTCTGTGGTTGAGGCCATGGTGGTCTTAGAGCCTACAGTGGAAGCCATTGTTGTCTCAGAGCTTGCAGAGGAGGCTGTGATGAAGCCTGCAGTGAAGGCTGTGGTGACTTCAGAGCTTGCATTGGAAGTTGTGTTGATCTCAAAACTTGTGGTAGAGGCCATGGTGGCTTTGGAGTATATGGCAGAGGTCTGGGTGAAGCTTGCAGTGGAGACCATGCTGGTCCCAAAGCCTGTGGTGAAGGCTGTGGTGACCTCAGAGTCTGTGGCAGCATCGGTGGTGAGGCCTGCAGTAGAGATCATGGTGACCTCAGGGCCTGTGTTGGAGGCAGTGGTGGAGCCTGTAATAGAGGCCATGGTGGCCTCAGAGCCCATGGTAGAGACTGCAGTGGTGCTTGAGGTAGAGGCTATCATGGTCTCATAGTCTGTAGTGGAGGCCATAGTGACCTCAGAGTCTGCGGTGAAGGCCATGGTGGTCTCAAAGCCTCTGGTAGAGTCTGTAGTGGCCTCAGAGTCTGCAGTGAACACTGTTGTGGTCTCAGAGCCTGTGGTAGAGGCTGTAGTAGTCTCAGAGCCTGTGGTGGAGGCCATGGCGGTCTCATAGCTTGTGGTGACCTTAGAGCCTGTGGTGGAGGCTATGGTGTCCTTGGAGCCCGTGGTGGAGTTTGAGGTGGTTTCAGAGACTGTGGTGGAGGTCATGATGGCCCCAGAGCCTGTGGTGAAGCTTGAAGTGGAAGCTGTGATGACCTCAGACCCTGCAGTGGAGGCTGCCATCTCAGAGCCTGTGGTAGAGGCTGTGGCCACTTCAGAGCCTGTGGTGGAGCTTGAAGTGGAGACTGAGATGGTTTTAAAGCCTGCAGTGGAGGCTATGGTGACCTCAGAGCCTGTGACGGAGGCTGTGGTTGTGTCAGAGCCTGTGGTGGAGGCCATGGTGGCCTCAGAGCCTGTGGTTAAAGCCATAGTAGAACTGGTAGAGGTGACTGTGGTGGTCTCAGAACCTGTGGTCAAAACCATGGTGGTCTTAGAGTCAGCAGTGGATGCCGTGATGGTCTCTGAACCTGTGGTGGTGCTTGCAGTGGAGGCCACTGGGATCTCAGACCCTGAGGTGGTGGTTGTGCTGGCCTCAGATCCTGTGGTAGAAGAAGTCATGCTGCCCTCAGGGCCTGTAGTGGAGGTAATGGTGGAGCTTACAGTGGAGGCTGAGGTAGTCTCAGAGCCTGTGGTGGAGGCCGTGGTGACCTCAGACCTTGCAATGGAGGCTGTGGTAGTTTCAGAGTCTGTGCTGGAGGCTGTGGTTATGTCAGAACCTGTGGTGGAGGCCGTGGTGGCCCCAGAGCCTGTGGTTAAGGCTATAGTAGAGCCTGCAGTGGTGGTTGTTGTGGTCTCAGAGCCTGTAGTAGAGGCCATAGTGGAGCCTGCAGTAGAGGACGTAGTGGTCTTAGAGCCTTCAGTATAAGCCATCTTGTAGCCTGTGGTGGAGCTTGTGGAGGTGGCCATGGTGGTCTGAAATCCTGTGGTGGAGGTCACTGTGGCCTCAGAACCTGTGGTGGAGGCTGTGGTGGAGTCTGCTGTGGTAGCCATTGTGGTATCAGGGCCTGCAGTAGAACCCATGGTGGAGACTGCAGTGAAGGCTGTGGTGATGGTTGGGGTTTCAGAGCCTACAGTGGGCGTTTTGGTGGTCTTAGAGCCTCTGATGGCATTAGAGGTTGTGGTGAAGGCCATGGAGGGCACAGATGTTATTGTGGAGGATGTGATGCTCTCAGACGCTGTAATCAACGTTGTGAACACAGATGCTGCCGCTCTGGTGGCTGTGGATTTTAAAACAAACATTGTTTCTTCTTTTCAAATACACATGCCCTATACTTCCTTGTAGACCTGGAGAGTTTACTATCAAAATGTGTGTTTCTTTGTTATATTGATATTTGCTTTCTTTCTTTTATCTGTTTCTCTGTGTTTTCTTTCCACCTTCTTAGACTTATTTTTTTAAACATTTGTTCAAGTAATCATACTACTTTTAATTCTCTATTTTGCTTTCAGAACAATGCTTTCTCTTGGCATTATCCTTTTCTTATCAAATCTTAAAATGTAGTCCAACACAAAAACATGTATATAGGTGTTTTTAGAGGTTTAATATAAACCCTAGAAACAACCCAATTGTCCTTCATCTGGGTGAACTCACTGTGGCATATCCATACAATAGGAGATATTCAGCAAGAGAAAGAAACTACTGGTACTTGATAACACAGATGACTCTGAAACACGTTTTACTACGTGAAAGAAGTCAGGCTCAAGAATCTACATATTATAAGATTCCTTTGACATGACATGCTAGCAAAGGCAAAATAAGGGAGACAGAAAACAGACCAGTGGTTTGTAGGAGCTGGGTGAGGGGAGGGGCTGATTACATAGGATCACATGGGAGCTTTGGAGGATGGTGGCACGTTCTGTATCTCGATGATGGTAACCGTCCCATGACTGAGCACTTGTCAAAATTCATAGGACTGAATTGTATTCCAAAAAATTACTATACAAAAATTATACCTCAATTCAAGAAATTATTCATGTTAAACAGGCAACAGAAAAAAATAATTAAAATATGGCACTTTTTTTTGTTATGGGTAGTCGATGTTCATTAGGTATCCAATAGACTATTTGTAGGCAGTAAGATGCCTGAGCTTATGTCTCAGGGGAAAGTTCAGAACGACAAACATAAAGTTGGAAGTTATCTAAATGTAGATTGTATTTAAAGCCATGAGGTTGGCTGAGATCATTTGTAGAGGCGAGTATAGCTGGAGAAGAGGGCTTTGGACCAAGCCCTGAGTACTCCATAAGTCAGATGTCAGGTAGAGGAGGAGAAGAAGCTAATAAATGAGACTGAGAAGGAACAACCAGTAAGATAGGAATAAAGCTCTAAATGGTGAATCAAGGAAGTCAAGAGAATAGAGAGGCCATGCAAAAATATGGTGGTTAGCCAAGTTGATTTTTTGCACAGATGAACTGAGATGGAGCCTGAAGAGTGTTCACTGGATTGGGGGACAAGATGGAAATACATGTTTAATTTTTTTTTTTACTCAAAGTCTTACTCTGTCACCTAGGCTGGAGTGCAGTGGCACAATCATGACTCACCACAGCATTAACCTCCTGGGCCCAGGTGATCCTTCCACTACAGTCTTTCCTGAGTAACTACTCCATAGCACAGTACCCACTAATTTGTTTTTAAATTTTTTGTAGAGACAAGTTCTCATTATGTTGTCCAGACTGACTTCACACTCCTGGACTCAAGCAATCCTCTCACCTTGGCCTCCTAAAACGCTAGTGTCACAGGTGTAAGCCACTGCACTTGGCTCGGGGTTCAGTTTATTGAGAATAGATTTGCTTGATGGGGTTGACACCAAGTGGAGTAAAAAAAATGTTTTTTAAAGTTGGAGTTGCCAGGCATGGTGGCTCAAGCCTGTAATCCCAGCACTTTGAGAGAGGGAAATGAGAGGATTGTCTAAACTCTGTGGTTCAAGACCAGCCTGGGCAACTTGGTGAGACCTCGTCTCTACAATAAATCAAAAAACAAGCCGGACATGGTAGCACATGCCTGTAGTTCCAACCACTTGGAAGATTGAGGTGGAAGGATCACCTGAACCTACTCGAGGCTGAGGTGGCCATGAACGTGCCACTGCACTCCAGCCTGGATGACAGAGTGAGACTCCAACACACACACAAAAATAAAATAAAATTACTGAAAATAATTTAAAAATAAAAAAATAAAAGTCGGAATCACACTCTGTTGCCCAGACTAGATTGCAGTGGCACACTCACAGCTATTGCAGCCTCGACCTGCTGGGCTCAGGCCATCCTTCTGCCTCAGCCTTCCAAGTAACTGGAACCACAGGCACATGACACCATGCCCAGCAATTTTTTTTATTTATTGTAGAGATGAGGTCTTGCCAAGTTGCCCAGGCTGGTCTCAAACCCCTGGGCTCAGGCAATTCTCTTGCCTCAGCCTCCCAAAGTGCTGGGTTTACAGGCATGAGCCACCGCATCTGACCTGGAGTAAATTTTTTTTTAATGAGTATGCATAAAGACTTAAGGATTTCACAGAAAAATTAACAGTAGAAAAATAACAAAAGATATAACTCCACAGGACAAAGAACTAGAGCCATGACAACAGCAGATAAGCTGTTTTTAGTGTAATATACTAGCAGGTGAATGTGTGATATTTCTTCAACAGAACAGAGAAAGCTACAACATACAGGCCTGTATTGTGGGTGAGAGTCAACCACTAGTAAATTATTCATTCTATGAAGTCCTGGGAAGGTTCAGGAATTGTGATTCTGAAGATGTGGGTGTGGTGTGCGGCTAAATCCAAGAGGGATGGTTGAAATACAAGGTAGCTAGGTACCATCTCGCAGTCCCAGATCCCTTCTTTGACTCAAGTATTTAGGTGAATACACCACTCTCCTTCATAAGAGTTCGATAGTTGATCTCTGTAGATAGTGGACCATAAATCCTAGGTACTGCTGAGGGCAGTATTAATGAGTTGTACTAAAACCACACAAGTGATTGCTTATACCCTGAACTGTAAAACTCTCATTTTCTCTTTCCTTACTCAACTTCCAGCACATTGGCAGCTAGGCTTATACCCTCTAGGCAGGAATTAGGAGAATTCCTCTTGTGGAAAGAAATTAGCCCACACTTGAAAAAGTCTCCAGATATTGATATTTTTAAGGTCTTCCCAATTAAAACTGCCAGGTCTCTGCTAAATTTCCCTAGAGCTAAGTCCACCAATTGACAGATCCCACACCTGCACACAGAGCGCCCAGTCATCATTTTAGCGCTTCACTCAAATGCAAGGGACATTCTAGAATTATCAGATATTTGAAGAAAGTCTCTAACTTGAAAAATAAAGACCAAAACAGACATCCTATGAAGCAAAGTCAGGGACAACTGAGACAATGAAGAGAGCAAAATCAACTTCAAAAGAAGTCTCTGATATTAAAAAATTTTTTCAAAATTTACTAGAAGAATTAGAAGACCTTAGAAGCTGAGGAAATCTCCCCCAAAGAAAAATAAAATGATAGAGTTGGAAGACAAAAGAAAAAATATAAGAAAGTTAGAATGTCAGCTCAGGTAGTCAAACATCTAAATAAGATTTTTCAGAAAGATAATGCAGAAAAAAAATGTATGGGAGTCAATCATCAAATAAAATAATGCAAGAAAAATTTCCAGTACTGACTAACTTAACTTTCTACTTTATAATAAGTCCCTAATGCAATAAGGGACTATAGCACCACATCATGAGATTTAAAAGCAGTAGTTTTTGAAAATCCTAAATCTTCCAGAGAAAGAAAATGGGTCTTTTACAAGGGATCAGAAATCAAAATGATACCAGATTTTAAAGCTAGAAACAGTGGATCAGTGCCTTCAAAATTCTGATGGAAAATGGTATTTAACTTATAATTTTATAACCAGTTAAGCTATGAATCAAATGTGAAGTTGGAATAAAGACATTTTCGGACATGCAAGGTCTACAGACTGTTAGATCCATTTTTTCTCTTTTCCCTGTGCACATGGCTAAGCTACATTTCCCAGCTTCTCTTGTGGCTAGATACGGCTACATGTCTAAGCCCTAGTGAGAAGACCATAAAAGGAAGGAATATATACAATTTCCATTTCATTTGTTTAAGAGTAAATACCATTTCTTAATTTCTACTTGTATATGTTTTCTACTTTTCTGTATATTATGATGTTTTGACATCTTAACACATTTTTCTGACTAGAGAGAGACTGCCTCTCTCAGGACTGGCCAATTCTTAGAAGTAGCAAAGGGCCCAGCTAGGAGCATGTCTTTGATATGCAAACTAACCAATGCAGAACCACACTTCCTCTATCTGGTCCATACACTCCAGGAAGCAATATTCTGCATTAATCATCCCGGGGCCAGGTACCAAGCAACTAGGGACCACCCAGTAGTCCAAGGCTTACAGGAATTATTCAAACTAGCCAATCCTAAATTGTCCACTGTGCCCTCCCTTGTCTTTCCCACAAAAACTTCAGTGAAAAGCATGGCCTAAACCTTACCTCATTCTGCCTTCTGACCATCCTCATGTCTTTTTCACATGTCCAGCATGGCACTGCTATGTCTCCTTTCTCTAGGACCTCTGAATATAGCACACTTTGTTTTCCTGAGTCTCTCCTCTTGCGGCTACACCTCGACTGACTGTATCACAAAATAATACAAAACACTGCTCTTTTACCTTTTCTTTGGGCTGAAATGATGACAACATTGGAAACCATGTGTTGAAAATGGCAAAGCCACCTTCATCTTGAGTCCCTGAATGACTACATGGAGCAAAGTTTCCACTATCCTATCATGGGAGACATAAGATTGTTCATTTTATTTTTTTAACTTGTTTCTTTTAATTTTCTTCTTTCTTTCATTCTTTCTCCACCCCCACGTCCCCTCCACCACAGAGTCTCATACTGTTACCCAGACTGGAGTGCAGTAGCATGATCACAGCTCACTGCAGCCTCCACCTCCTGGGCTCAGGTGATCCTTCCACCTCACCCTCCCAGGTGGCTTGGACTTACAGGCACATGCCAGCACACTCAGCCAATTTTTTTTTTTTTTTTTGCAGAGACAAGGTCTCACTATATTGCACAGGCTGGTCTCGAATTTCTGGGCTCAAGCAATCCTCTTGCCTTGGCCTCGCAAGGTGCTGGGATTACAGGTCTGAGCCACCTCAGACCTGGCCAAGACAATTGTTTTAAACAAGTTCCTCAGGCAATATGGTCACAGGGGCAGGGACTGTGGATTTCCCATGCTAGTCCTCACATGTAGCAGTGCTTAGTCCAGAGCAGGATCTCTATTAATGATTGTGGACCAACTGCATGAATGACAGGTTCTTCTGAGGCAAAGATACTATTGTTTAGAATCTGATGGATAGGACTGAGTTAGGAATTAGGACAAGCAGGAGGCAGGTCTAGAAGTCATGTGTAGGTAGAGACAGTTGAAGTATCTAGGATGAAAGCCACAGGAAAGGGAAGAAAAAGAGAGAAGGCTGAAGGAGGGGATGCAGGGGCAGAGTGAGTGGGCAAATCCAGAACAGGGTGCCGGAAACAGTTGCATACTGTGGAAGAAGGGGTATCACCAAAACTCCTCCATATCATTCAACCTAGACCTTTTCTGTCATCTCGCTCCTCCCTCTTCCTGATGTACCAGCCTATATAAAGGAAAAGGAGCTGGATAAGCTGATTAACCTGGTCTGTAATCATTAAGGAAGAATCACTGACATTGTGAGCAATCAAAGACAGGAGTCAACAGAACCGGCTCAGGTGGTCAGAATTGCTTCGCTTTTCCCCTCTGGGCTATTTTCTTTCACTGCCACTGCTGATCAGGTGCCAGAGCTCTGGTGTACCAGTGGCCAACCTCCAATTTGTTTCCACTGGGGATTCTGAGGGGATTAAACATGGATTTGAAATCAGGCAGCATCTGAAGAAGTAATATTTTTACTTGACTTTACTCTAAGAAGCTGGTTCTCATTTGGGATTAAGAATGCCATTGGAATTAGAATTTTCCTATTAAAAACAAAACTTTTGTCCAAGACACAAATGAAAGTGAGAAAAATCCATCCTTCCCCCACCCCCACTTGTGCTCACACCCACAGCTTGGGAGAGATGAATATAGATTTGCTTTTAAGGTAGCATCAGAGTCATGGCCAATGAAATTGGATCAGTAGTATCTTTTGCAGAGATGGGCTAAAAAAAAAAAAAAGAAAGAAAGAAAGAAAAGAAAAAAGAACCATCTTTGCTTCTAGAAGAATTGTCATACCTGGACAGGGAGCTCCATTTCCTTCAGACTTTATTTGGCCTTCATAACCCTCTCCCTCAACTGATAATTCACTTACTGGGTCCCAGGAGTCCAAAAAGATGTAGCCACAGCAACCAGAAAGGAGAAATTTTTCCTCTTCTCATCTTGAAATGATACACAAAGGAAGCTGTCATCCAAAAGCCTTGATTCCCGAGAAAAGATGAGCTGCAGAGACAGAGGGTCAAGGGGCGTACCCCCTGAGCCTTGATGGAAAATCAAGTTGCACGTGAAAATCTGAAGGCCAGCCAGTGCCGGGTAAGCTTTGTGGAGGTGATTGTGGGGAGCCCCACAAATTGTTCTACAGTTTGACTTCTTATTTTTCTTCTATTTTCCTCGTGGGCATATCTATGGTATTTATAGCTGATACTGGGTAGTGGAGACCAGAGCTTTGGGCCCTCCCTTCCCAGGGAGGGGCATCTCTGCAGTGTGCTTTCTGCAATTCAGGGCTGTTTGAAGAGAAGTACCCTGCAGGAATCAAGGCGGAAGAGAGGGTTGGGTCTGCGTGACCGGAGGGTGCAGACATGAGGAGGGGCAGGGAGGGAGGCAGAATGAGGGAATCAAATTTGTCAGCATGGAAGGGACCCACCCTTTGAACTAGAACTGACCTGAAACCTGCTTTCCCTGTGTATGCCTCACTTTCAAGATAGGAGGCCTTTGTAGAAGAAAGAAGGAGGAAGAGAAGAAATGGAACCACATGGGTGGTAAAGATCAATATGAGACTATCTGGGGGAAACTGGGGATTTGGAGGGTGAGAAGAGAATCAGACACACACTAGTTTTCTCCAGAGTGTCCCTTCCTAGCTGCAGAGCAGCACGTGGCTGTGTGAGCCACATACTTCACCCCCTCTGAACTCTCCAAGTGTGGGGAAGGTGGACACTGAGTAAGCTCACTTGTAGTGTCAAGAGGAGGTGAGTGGAAAAGGGCATGGGGTAGAGAACCAGTCATTTCCCTGGGTCTATCTTTGGCAATGGTTCTTCAGTGGGGGACCCTATTTCTAGGGTCACAACTAACAGCTAATTGAAATTTACACTGTGAAACTCAGGTGCAAGAAAAAATGTCACTTGACTTGCTGTGACTGTCTAACTTAGCTTTTGGACTCTCATTCCCACCAATGGCAAAGAGGGCCGTGGTGAGGGATGGGGATATGGATTTAAGCTTGTCCAATATCGGTGATTCAATTTCATTTCCTTTTAAATGGTCTCTTTTGGAGGGCATAGAAATAGATTTGGAATTCATTCTTGTATGACATGTGCTGAAAGTTTTCTTTACGAAATGTCCACATTCCAGATTCTTGCTGTTATGCCTCTCAGCCTCACCATGTCCTGGCTCAGATTTGCTTCACCTGGCTGAACAAGTAGTCATTTCTCTTCCTAATTTTAGTTTATCACCAATTCAAGCTTTATTATGAGAAGGAAGTCTCAAAGGTACCTTCCATATGGTATATGACTTATCAGAAAATAACTAAAACAAAGACACAAGGCCGGGCTCGGTGACTCAGCCTATAATTCCAGCACTTTGGGAGGCTGAGGCGAGATTGACTGAGCCCACAGGTTCAAGACCAGCCTGGGCAACTTGGCGAGACCTTGTCGCTACAATTTTAAAAAAAGTTTTAAAAAAATTAGCCGGGTATGGTAGCGTGCACCCGTAGTTCCAGCTAGTTGGAAGCCTGAGGTGGAAGGATCACTGGAGCCCGCAGGTTGACACTGGGATGGCCTGAGTGTGCCTCTGCACAGAGTGAGACTCCAACTCAAAAACAAAAAACAAAGACACAAGACTTTCTGTGAAATATAGCCCAATATAATCCATGTCTGCGATCCAGCTTCCTACAAGCTGGCTACCCTGAGGGTATAGCCATCCTTAGCTTTGAAGATTTCTCCTAAGGCTGCTTAGACTGCATTAAATATCTGAACGATCATTTGAGTAGAAACGTCCATAGGTGCTTGAGCAGCATTCTTCTAATTTTTTTTGTGTATACTCTCAAAAAGAATTTTGAAAAACTATGTATTTCCTCATCTGTTTATGCTTAATCTAAAATTTTATTATAAATTTAGTAAATGCAAAGAACGTAATTTCTACCATATAGAAAATATGAACACTGAAATAATAAAATAGTTTTGCTACTCTTTGCAATGTTTCCAATAGGTTCTAAACACTGTAGCATCTCTATATCCAGTACTGTCCTTTTTAATAGCATATAAGCAAGCTCTTCCTCAGCAGTCCACGTTTTTACATGGTTCCTTCATTTTTTCCATATTATTCTACTGTTCTCTCTTTATATGTAACATTAGGTACCAGTTATATAAATTCTCTACTGCTACGTATATATATAACAGAATATAAATATATATTTTAATTAATAAAGTTTTTCTTTTAGAGCAGTTTTAGGTGCACAGCAAAATTAAGGCATCCTGTCCCCACACAAGCACAACCTCCCCCACTATCAACAACCTTCACCAGAGTGGTGCATTTGTTACAAGTGATGAACCTACATTGATACATCATTATCACTCAACATCCCTAGTTTACGTAAGAGTTCATTCTTCAGGTTTTGATGAATGTATGGTGATGTGTAGCCACTATTGCAGTATCATACAGAATAGATTCACTGCCCTAAAAGTATTTCATCTGAGCTCTGCCCATTCATCAATCCACTCTCATAACCCCCAGCAATCACTGATTTTTTTTAACTATTGCTATAGCTTTGTCTTTTCCAGAATGTCACAGAGTCTGTATTATTTTTTGCCTGATGAGCTTTTATTTATTACTGTATTATACTTCGCTGCACCAAAAGATATGTTTATAAACTTTTAAAAATTTTCCTGTGCTTTTTAAGACTCAAAGTGTTCAGTTTATAGCCCTGATAACATTTTGGTGAAACGTAAATGAAAATGTATTTCCTGTGAAATGTTTTTTCATATTTTCAAGAAAATATGAACCTCTAACTTACCCAATATTAATAACAAAATGTGTAAAGCGCTTACCAAACACAGGGCTATTCCAAGGGCTTCAGAATAATCTCATGAAGTAGGTAGTGCTATCACCTTCATATTTACAAATACGGAAATTGAGACCCAGAAGAGCTAAATAATTTTTGTGCAAGGTCACACTGAGCTTAGATTTGAAACCAGAAATTCTAGTTCTACAATCTATGCTCTTAGCTGACATGATGTACATCCTCTCTATGTTTCTTTTATCTTAAGATGTAACAATCAGTTGGAAGTAAATATGGAACTTACAACATCTTTGTCCTTGAAAGCATGCAAAATAAACAGTTTATCACCTAGACCAAGACACTGGTGAATGGAAAGCTCTTTCTCCTTAAGGAGAATGATGTACAATTCAGAGAAGTGTGCTTCATAGCAAGTTGCTGTGTCCCAGCAAATTTTTACAAATCTTGACTATTCTAAAATAGGCAGACAGACAGATGACGAGGCTTGGCTGCCAAGAGATTTTAGCTTCAGCCAAATGAGACACTGTCACCTCTATTATTTCTTACCAATTCCACCTTTCTCTAATCTCATGGGACACCCCCTCAAAAAAAAAATGCCTTCTTTGACAGTGGATGGAAGAGAAGCAACAGTAAAAAAGGAAATTTTTATTACCCCTGCTACCTCACTATACAGCATATCTGCATAAATAACATCTTAACACATACCAAAATTATCAACTTGTTACACTCCTTTTATCTTTTCATAGGAATTTATATGAGGCAGAGGAAAACGAGAAGCCCTCCTCTGGGTATATGATACCTAAATTAGAACAGATTTTTGAGATATCCCTTTATTTAACACCCTGAAATGTTCTAGACCCCCAGGAAATGTGCTATAATGATATAGGTGCTAAAGAGAAAATGTTGGATGATCGTAAAAGGGGAGTCAGAGAAGTACAGTTAGCTTGATGCCACAGAAGTCGTCTCAGATCAGATTAGGCAAAAAGTATATATGGAAGTTAAAGATCTGGAAAGTTTCCCATAAAACAGCCCACACCTGCAGAATACTCTTTAGAAAGTCTTTATGTGCCTCCAAGATATGGTGCGCAGACACCATTGTGCTTAAAGGTCATTGTACTAAATCAACAGTGCAAAAGTAAAAGGTCTGAATGGGCAACATGTTAACCCTGTCCACTTCCTGGACTTCTGCTTGTGTCAGACATGCTTGGTGGGTGGGATCTTTGCCACATTAAAGTGTATTCCGTGACGAAAGCTGGGTAATGATGCTTCCAAATTCTACACACGCTCCAGTTGCTGGGAGTTCCGAGAAAATCACAACATAACTATGTGAATCAATCACAAGTTAAATTGCTCATAAAGGATTCCTCCCTTTTCACCTTCCTCCATCTTAAAGTGCCCATTCCTTCAAGTCATTGTTGTTAATCTTCGGAAATAAAAATTTTTATTTACATGATGTGCCTGATAATAACTTAGCAACTCGCTTCAAATATAATTTGCATACCACATAGTTAACATGTTGAAAGTGTAAAAACAATGTTTTTTGGTATATTTTCATAATTGTACTTGGTGAACTTTTCAATCTACAGACTCAAATATTTTTTCTCAATCCCATCTCTTCTCTCTTTCCTTCTACTTCCTCTCTTCCATCTCCTCCTCCTTCTTCTTTTTTTCAGTATTAAACCTTATTACTTGTACATCAGTCCTCCTGGGTCTGTCCTCCAAGTGTATTATATTTCTTGGGTGATTTCCATCTCTGTATTGTTGTGTCTATTTGAGTTATTTTCTCCACTTGCTCTTCCGGATTACTGATATCATTCTCAGCAGTAGCCAGTCTCTTTCAATTTGTGTATTAGAAATGTAGACTTGAAAGTGTATATTTCACATTTTTAAATAATCTAGTTGGATTCCCTTGCCTGGTCTTATTTATTTTCATGTTTTCCACATGATGTCCTCCACAGTTCCCACCAGTGGGAGGCACCTTTTCAGAGTGTTCAACTCGGTTTCCCCTTCTGGCTGCTGGAACCCTTTAAGTGAGATGATGGAGATGATGATGGTGGCCCTCATATGGCTCAGCTTCCCTCTGTTCTGTGGTGAGCAAGTATATGTAATATAATCCTACCCCCAAGGCTGTGGGGAGAGAAGTGACTCCTTGCA